TAAGAACCTCACTTCTTCAGATGCAAGTAGTGGAAAGTGAGGTTCTTACCCACGAAAGCTTATGCTCCCAATACTTCTGTTAGTCTTAAAGGTGCCACAGGACCCTCTGTTGCTTTTTACAGATTCAGACTAACACGGCTACCCCTCTGATACTTAACTAAGGATGAAATCTTTGACATTCTAGCTGCTAAAAGTCAAAGAAGTCTCTACTGAGCATGTGCAAACTGCAATTTTTCAAAGGCTTATAACTTGGCCAAATTTGGGCAGATTTTCACAGACACACCAAAAGGCACATCTTTGATAAAAGCCAAACACAGACACACCCCTCCCCCCCGCAAAAAAAATTGCAAGTCCCTTCCCCAGAGCATGGAAAGATACTAGAGCTTTTCAAAGAAAAGATCACCAGAATTTTTTTAAATGGGTAGAACAGCTTATTTTTCTGTAGCCTTGGTCTCAGACGAGCTGAACTGTTTTGGGCTAAAAAAATTCCAAATAATTCAGCCTGAGCCAGATGCCCAGCATGGAAAGTTTCAGCCCAAATGGTTAAAGTTCAGCCCAGTCTTATAAGCAACTGAAAACGGTCTTATAATGGGACGTGTCAGGCAACCTTAGCAATGGGCAGTGCTACTAGCCCCACCTATAATGATCTGGTCAAGAGGATGAACAGTGAGATGGAAAATTTTGCAGTAGACACATTATGTGGGTTATTGAAGACTAGAGAAGATTGGGAGTAACTTCATAGGATCCTAATAAAGCTAAGTGAATGGGCAACATGATTTCAGATATAATTCATAGTTGACAAATGCAAGGTAATGCACATTGGAAAGAATAATTTGAACTACTCATGTAGATTGTTGGATTCTGAATTAACTGTAATTACTCAGGAGCAAGACTTGGCATCGTTGTGGACAGTTTAATGAAACCTCTGTGAAGTATGCAGCAGCAATTAAAAAAGTAAACAAGATGTTAGGAAAAACTGGGATAGGAAATAATATTGCAAATGTAATTATGCCCTTACGTAAATCAATAATGCATCCTCCACTGGAATACTGTGTTCAGTTCTGCTAACCCCCATCTCAAAAAAGAAGATATCCAGAGGCAGATGACAGAAATTATTAGGTGGGTGGAAATACTTGCATGTGAGGACAGATTGTTGAGATTGAGACTGATTGCTATAGAGAGGGGACATGCTAGAGGGATGCACAATAATGAATGGTCTTGAGAAGGTAAACGGGGTGCTCCTATTTACACTTCCTCATAATACAAGAACAAGGGCACATTTAATGAAACTGAAATGCAATAAATTTAAAACTGATCAAAGGAAATACTCTTTTTAGCCAACATATCATTTACCTGTGGAATTCACAAGGTGTCATTGGAACAAAGAGGTAAGTAAGGTTAAAAAATGATTGGCTCCATAAGTACATTAGATAGGAATTAAAAAATTAGGACTATAAACCCTCATGCTTCATAGCATAAGCCAACCATTAACTTGTGGAGCCCCAATTTAGTAAAGCATATGAACATATCCTTAAATCCATCCCTAGTCAGCAAAGCATTTAAGTACATGCGTGTTTTGTTGAACTGGAACCAGAGTTAAGAGGAACCTTCCTGTTTGAGCAGGTTCTTTCATAATGGCCTATTATGCCATTTCTGTCAAGTTCCTGTGAAGCGTCTGATATTAGCAATTGTCAGGAACAGACTACTAGACCATATGGACTGCTGGGTTAGTCTAGTATGACAATTCCTGTGTTACAATCACGAACTAATCCTAAAGAGATCCACATCCAGTCTTGCTCGACCATGAAGGAAAGTTATTGCTGTGAATGAATTTAAGGAGAGGGGAGTCATAAACCTGAAAAAATATGAGCAGTCCTCTTTAAGTGAGGGATGCAACCCTGTATATTCAAACAGCCCATTCTTCATAATGCTTCTGGGACGCTTGTTTTTCAGCACTATGGTCAGAGCTGTCCCTTCAAACAAGCCATGAATATCCTCAACATGCTCTTCACGGGTCTCTTCACCGTGGAGATGATTCTGAAACTAATCGCCTTCAAACCCAAGGTAGGTGTTGTAGATTGGGAATTTCTCTTCCTGTGTGGTGAGAGTGAGGAGAAAATATGTAATAACCCTACCCCACCCCCACAGTCACCACCCAGTAGCTGAACTGGGCAGTTACTCTCTGGATTGGAGTCTCACCCTGTGTTTGGAAGAGCTTTTCTCAGGAAGAGAGTAGACACATTTAAAAAGAGCAGTGCCTTTTAGGAGAGGAAGATCCTGCTCCTTCATTATTATGAAGACATGGTAGTTACTCTACAGTTAAGGCTACAGCATGATTTCCATATTGAATGCTGGTCTAACGCTCTCTCTAACTTTCCCAAAACAAATTTTATAGCCTGAAACATCTCCTGATTAGTCCCCAGGCCACAAGTGATTTTAAAGAAAAGTGAAGTTAATCAAACATGATTCATTTTGAGTTATGGTACTTGGAAATTTTTCTTTGGGTTTTGGAAAAAATATTCTAATTGATCTACTCACAGGTCAGTTATCAGTCTGCTCATAGTTCAAAATGGCTGGCAAATTGGCCTATACACTAGTGCTTTGTGAGGATTACAGCACAGGGCTGGTTTGGATAATGTTAGTTTTGAATTTAATCATTTATTGTCAATGTTGGAAACCCCATCAGTTCCTGTCTCCAGGGATTATTATGTTCACAGGAGCTACACATTCCACTAACATGATTATACCAGAAGGAAAGTTGTAATTTACAAGCTCTTCCAGCTAACCCAACACAGCTCTTAAATTAACTGAGGCCTTCATCTTTTTAGCGTAGCTTCAGCTACATTTCATGAGGTCTCAATATGGCATTAACAAAGGTGACAGTCTCCACCATGTCCAACAACCAAGCTTGTCTATTCTATTGAAAGTTAAAGCACCACCCTTCACCAGCCTGTCATCCTTCTTCCCCTCAGCAGTGCAGTAACTTTCTGCTCACACTCCACTCAAACCAATATCTCTCTCCAGCATCATCTCTAAGTTGGTTCTTCTCCCTCCCACCCCAGCACCTCTATCCCCTCTCCCATCTTTTTCTATAAGGCCTTTTAAAATGTAGAGGATCAAGGAAAGTCACAGTCTCTGCGCTCAGCCAGCCCAGAATCTCTCTCCCTTCTCCCATCATTCTCTTATAGGTACCACTCATGAAGGTCACAAGTTTCATGGGTTATGTTCAAAATCTTGGTACTTTTGTGAGGTCTCAAATGTAGTGCTTGTGAAAATTACAAGCATCACCAGCTGTACCAGCAGAGCTTGTAACTTCCAATAGGCACTAGACTTACAAGTTTGTGACTTTGCCACATATGCTACCGTAGAAATTCTTCTAAGTCCAACACTTTGTAAAAACCTTATATGCATATTATATGTGTAGGAACATACCTCATGCATTTAGTAGCATTCTTCTGCTTAGATTCTGCTTCGTTACACTCTTCAAGCTTTGCTATGGGCTCTGATCACCGTGAGTTTAAAAATAACCGAGAAGATTTCTAAACTAAAAACTTCTCTGTGACCTAATTAAAGATGAGACTATATGGCATATCTTTTTAACACTCTTTAACATGGACTAGAACAACTGGGTTTTAATAAAGAGTCTTGAAAGCCAGGACATTCTCAGTTAAGGTCCCAGCATCAGCCATAACTCTGCCCCTTACTCATGCTGAAAGAACAGCCAGCTACAGGAATACACCATATTAAAGATAGAAACTAAAAATGCCTGAACACCAAAAATAGCCCCAAAACTTAATTTAATTTTAGAGGCCGTCAAACTGGACGATCACAGTGGTTCCTTCTGGCCTTGAAATCTATGAACCAATATCTTCAGAGGGGAAAAAACAGTAAAACAGGGCATTTGCCCCCAAAAAATCACAGTGGGGAGAATGAACCTATGGAAATTGCTAATACAGCGAAAAGCTTGCTTTAAGCAGCATATTAATGCTGATTTATATTCTATACCAGTGCAGTGATTCTGTAAATCTTAGAGCATCAGATGTGTTCTGCAACATAACTCCCAGTTGCCCTCCTTTTTATCACAAAGGTGTGACCTGCAAGCCTGTAGAAGTGCCATCATGCACTGCTCCTTCTTGATTCAAACTGCCTGCCAAAGAAGGACGCCACCTACTTCTAGAAGGCCTCTTGGATCAAGGTGGACCACTGCGTGATGGGATCTGTAGTCACTATCTCTATGGGCCACGTGGTACAGCTATAACGTGCTGCTCTATTTTATCTATGTACATTGGGCACAGACTTCCAGCTCTGAGAAAGATGGTGGTGCAGCCCTCACTTAGGCAGGGGCTGGGCACCGACTACCATGAATGGTATAAAAAATGGCCTGCAAATGGGTGATTATCCCTAAGGGGTTATCTGAACAATCTGAGAGATGAAGAGCTTTAAGATACAGTCACCCTCCTCTCCCACTGAAAACATCCAAAGTTCCCCAGCAGAAGCTAAAGAGGGGATTTTAAATGCATTACGTTTTCCCAAGTATGAATGACTAGCTTAAATACTTACGGGGTCTCTGTTGTAGATGGAATTGGCTGCCATTTCCAGAGCAGTAAAGCCCAAACCAATCTTTGATTAAGCTGTTTTGATGTTATGCCTAAAGCCCAGTCTTTTCAGGCTGAGGAGTTTCTGAAAGTGATAGAGCAGTTACTCCTTTATGACTGACTGCAGAGGAGTAGGAGACATAGATGGGGACTTGAAGGTATCATGCTCTCAGCTGAGCAACAACAGGAAAGGCTTTTAGGAGAGGACAATGTGGGAGAAATGAGTGTGAGAGAAGCAGCAGCAGGCCTGTCACAGAACTAAAGCTAGGGCGTTTGCTCTACGGAGCACTCTGCTTTCTACAGCTGCTGGTATTGCTGACCCCAGCAAGAGGCACCATATAGGTAATGTAACTATTGCTGGATATTGGGACGTTGTCAGATACCTATGCCTCTGACAGCCACTCCCTAAAGGATAGTTGGAATTGGAAAGGAATGGTCCCAACATCTCCCAGTAGTTATAGCTCATTGCAGTATCTCCCAGGAGGGGTCCCAGCAGGAACTGTTGAAGAAGCAGTTACTATGTGGAGCACACAGCTGCTCATTCCTTTTCACAAAAGAATAACTGAAGAGAATGAGATAGGTGCTGTGGCCACCAGGGAGCTCATAATCACTGTGGTCCCAGCTTCTCCCTGCAGGAGTCACTGTAGGGAGTGGACAGAAGTGGTGGCCATGTAGAAGTATAGAGCTAATGCATTCCCAGTCTCTCCCTGCATGAGTACCATAGGCAATGGGGTAGTAGTGCTGGCTGAGGGGAGTTTACAGATACTCCTATCACAGCTGTTTTCGCTGGCATTTCTGTGAGTAATAATGAAAGACATATGGCTCTTTCTGATTCTGGTATGTATTTTTCACCATGTCCGCAGACCTCTAGCATTATTTATCTCTTGGCCCGTTTTTTTGAGGCAATGTGCCCTGCCTATTCAGCTCTCTTGATAGCATAATGGAAAGGAAAAAACCCAAGGAGGAATCAGTTCCATAAACACTAATTGTGAGCACAGACTCACCCTGGCATAGGGAATTTACTTGTATAATCCTGTGCTGGAGCTACTTCTTGCATTAGAGTAAGGATTCGGTAATCAAAAGGCTATTCTCTGGGATGGGGAACTACGTTTAGTCCAGGATCTGGGTCCTCCTCTTAGTACTATTCCATGCTCTGTAAACAGTATTTGAAGTTGGTAGAAAAACAAGAGGTTTCATAACTAAACACAGCCCTGGCACTGGGAATGCTTGGCTTTTGCAGCGAATCTATACTTCGCCCTTCTGTAGCAGTGCTATCTCTTTAGTTAGCCTCTGTGGGGGCAGAGCAGTCTCTGTCATTTATGCCCAGCTGTGGGTGTAGTGCAGTCTTTCAGCTGACACCGGAGCAATACTGTCTCAAGCCCATGTCTTTAGGCGTGCAATGTTTTTCTGGAGGAGAGGCACAGATCTCTCAGGTTTTATCAGTGTAAGGCAAACAGCCCATCAGCATCTAACCTACTCCAGGCATAAAGAGAGAATGAGAAGTAAAGGATTTGCTAATAGAGAGATTTGGGATGATTAGGGCTGCTGATAAGAACACATCCACTGTGTTCCTTGCATCTCCGTGCAGAGTATTAACCTGCTGCTCTGAAGTATGACTCCCAAATGGACCTTGAGTGTTTGTCTTGGCCGAGTCCCATAAACTGATTCAAGATTAGTTACTCTGAACAGGCAGGCAGTTTAAAGAGATGTTCTTGAGGCTTGGGGAACAGAGGGGTTCTGATGTTTGTGTTTCTAATTTATAAAAAGCTTCAGCACTCTGGTGAGCTTTTTGTGATGGTGCTTCTAGGGTTTTCTCTTTAGAACTCAGAGTCCAGTCTGAAATTTTTACACACATTTGTGCCCCCTGCCCACAACACACCCATAATCTGCCTAGGCAGACATGGCATTAAACACAAGGGAACAATTTAACTGCTAGTGCAGTCAGGGACATAAACTAGTTCTATAGCCCTTTACATCAGTAGATCTCAAAGTGCTTTACAAAGGAGATCAGTATCGTGGTCCACATTTTACAGATGGGGCAACTGAGGCCCAGAGAGGCAAAGTGACTAGCTCAAGGTCATCCAACAGAGCAAGGAATTGAACGTGGGTCTCCTGAATCCTAGACCAGTGCTCCCTCCACTAGGCCACATTGTCTTCTGTGAAGAGGCTAGTAGTAATTTCAGTGGACTTTTTCCCACTTATGCCACCAATGACTTTAGCCATGATCAGTAGCCCAATAGGTGTCTTTAACTAGAGAAATGAGATGGGCTTGAGTCAGATCCCCAAATGCAAACACCCCCAAGTTTTGTGGGAGTTCAGATCCAGGTAGAAACTCAAAGATAGATCATTGGCTCTATAATGGGCAAAACTGAAGGCCTGAATGCGAACATGCACATATACATGAACTTTGGGAAAATGGGACTCTGGAAACAAACTTTCCAGCTTAACCTGTCTGTAATCTACAGTAGA